TAAGTAACGTAACGTAACGTAACGTAACGTAACGTAACGTAACGTAACGTAACGTAACCGTACGTACGTACGTACGTACGTACGTACGTACGTCTCTCTCTCTCTCTCTCTCTCTCTCTCTCTCTCTCTCTCTCTCTCTCTCTCTCTCTCTCTCTCATTATATCAAATTTAGGTTGTATTAATTAAAAAAAAAAAGAACAAAGGTTTCCAGACTAAGAAATGCAAATACAGCAGAAAATAACCCAACTCAGGATTGCAGACATGAGGCAAAACCCTACTCTCTCTCTCATCATCATCTAAGCCCCGCTAGTAGGGGTGAATTGGAAGCCTTAGGGACAATAAGAGTCTCTCTCTCTCTGCATACTAAGGGCAACTTTTTTTATTTTTTATTTTTGGGATAAATCAATGGGGGAGATCGGCCCCTACCCGTTTTCATTTTATATAAAAAATGAAAGATGTTACAAGCTCATGAAGATAAACCCTATCATAGGGCACCTATGCAACATCATAAAGAAAAGACATACATAAAAATATGGAGGTTTGGAACGCCCAATGGTGGCTGCAGAGTAAGTAGTAGCCTTTTTTGCAAGAATGTCAGCTGTCATGTTTGCTTCACAAAAAGACGTGTGAAATCAACCAATCGCATGCATTTGAAGAGAGTCTAAATCGGCAATTTTCCATCACAACAGGGAGTGCCCATATAGGCTTGCTACAACCGCAAATGGAGCCAACAATTAGAGTAGAGTCACTCTCTATTAGAGAGGGAAACATTGTACCTTACTCCAGAGCATGAAACTCGGCATGGTTGTTTGATGCAACCCCCAGAGGGTTGGCAAAAGCAGTGATGAGACAGCCAAATCATCCCCGATGATACCACCACTCCCCGCCAAACCTGGATTAAAGTAAGATGCCCCATCGAAATTAAGCTTGAAGTGTGGAGGCGGTGGCATGGACCAAGAGATCGAGATAGTAACATGCGGCTTTTGCTGACACCATTGAATGGAGAGATTTACAATTGCCCTCTCCTAGAGGTGGAAAGACCGTGATTTAGCCTCAGCCAAGTCTCTCACATGGCAAATAATTCGTCTGAGGAGGCCCTCTTGTCTAGTGGTTTTGCCTCTGAAAAGTCAGTTATCACGCTCCCCCATAAGAACCAAATCGTGGTGAAAAAAGGAGGTTGCCACATGTTGAGAAGCCCCTCAAAACGACAATGTAAAGCAATCCATTTCCGGACTGGTGAAAATCTTTTGCCACATCTCCACGCAATGGATTTCCCAATACATGTGAAAAAACATACTGAAGCAGCAGGTGGTTAGATTTGTCATCATTATTAGAACAAAAGGCGCAAATGGATGCAAGATGACCTCCCTGGACTGCAAAAGTGTGAAGGTTGGAAGGTGGTAATGTAGGGATAGCCAAGATAACCATTTTACCGGGTGGTGGCAAGGGGATGACCAGTGTCTTAATTTTGGATTGGGGCTGCGTTTGTGTTTAATAAAGTCCCAAGCATTCTTAATTGAAAAGCGGTCATATGAGGAATGCACTGAAACAAGGAAATCTCTTCTAGGCTGTAAAGGGCTCTTGAAGGACCTGACCTCATCCCATACATGGAGACGAGAAGTAGACATTCTTCTAACACCCAGGTCCCAACACCAAGGAGAGGGAAGATTCCAGTTTCAGGGAGAACCATGCAATTAATCTGAGATCTTGAGTTTAGCCATGGATGCCCAAGTCCTTACGAATATTATTACCATAAGCCTCCAATATTGACTTCTCAGACAACCAAGGATCAGCCCAAAAATCCCCTGAGGAGCCATTGCCAATGATCCCTCTGACTCTATGGTGTACATACTCAAGTCCCCTCTGATACCCTTCCAAGCAAAAGAGCTGCTCTTCTTTTTAACACCCCAAGTGGAAGAATATCTGTAATAATGATGTTTGAAGAACTGAGAAATCAATGATGAGGGATAGGCTAGGGTCCTCCATGCCAGTTTCATCATACCAGCAGTATTGAAATCAGAGATATCACGAATACCTAGACCCCTTCTTCCAATTTAAGGCAAACCGTCCTCCATTTGACAACATGGAGCCCTTTTTTTTGTACAGTACCCGCCCAAAGAAAATTATGTTGTAACCTTTTGATCATGAGGCAATGCCCTGCGGCAGCAAAAAAGATAGAATCCAAAAAATTGTAGAGAGTCTGCGAACAGATTTAAGAAGATACAGGCGGCTCACAAAGGACAAAGAAAGGGCTTACCACAACTAATTTTCGCCATAATCTTCCCGATAAGGTTATGACAATGGCTATGCTTCAAGGATCCATGAAACGATGACAGCCCAACATACCTTATCGGGAGGAAGCCCTCGCCAAAACCCAACACATTTAAAACTCTATGTTTAGTGGAAGTTAAAGCACCAAAGAATATGTCCTTACTTTTGGCTTCATTTAGCATCTGCCCTATGGTTCTTTCAAAGGTGGATAGAATAGACTTCACCATAGCAGCATCCATAAAAGATGCCATACAGAAAATCACCGCATTGTCAGCATATAGTAAATGAGAAATACAATAATCACAGCCTGAAGGAAAAGCTTTAGGAAGTGTCCTCTGGGTTGTAGCGAAGTCTAATTGACTGCTCATAAAATTCACTGCCAAGAGGAAAATGTATGGGGAAAGTGGGTCACCTTGTCGCAAGCCCCTTTTACCTCTAAAATAACCCTTGGGAGAACCATTATGTAGCACTGAGAAGGATGACGTGGTAATACAATGCCAAATCCAAAGTATAAATATTTTTGGAAAACCCAGGGCTTGAAGCCTAGCAAACACGAAGTCCCATGATATCATAGGCACTGCTAAGGTCCAACTATAGGCACATCTTGGGCCTAGCAGTGGTTTTGCGATAGAGGGAAATAAGGTCATTTGCCATCAAAATGTTGTCAATAATCAATATGCCCTTGAGGAAAGCTGCATGGCATGGATGAACAATGTCACTAAGGACTTTCCTGAAACAATTTGAGACGACCTTGCTAATGATCTATGTCACTGAGGACTTTCCTGAAACAATTAGAGACGACCTTGCTAATGATCATATAGAGGACATTGCATAAGCCAATGGGTCGAAAATCTATCATGATGCTAGGAGAATAACCTTGGACATTAGGCAAATGAAGGTGGAATTTATTTCCTTGTGAAATTTACCCCTACTGAAGAAATCATTAAGAGCAATGAATGAGTCTTTTTTATTTCTTCCCAGCTGAATTTGTAGAACTCCACATTAAAGCCATATAGACCCGGGGCGCTCTCACTCTTCATGTCCCAGATACATGCTTTAATTTCCTCCAAAGTAACCTTCATAATAAGTTGTTTTTGTTGAGATTGGGACAAACGAGAGTGAGGAAGAAAATCATTAACTAGGGAAAGATCGACATCAAGTTCCTATGCCAAGAGATTTTTAAAGTAGTCGACCATATGGTCTTCAATTTCTCTCTTAGAAGCAAGTATAGTACCTGATTGGTCCTTAAGGAGGATAATCTGATCATACCTCCTCCAGATCACTGTAGAGAGGTGGAAGATTTTGGTATTGGAATCGCCCTCTTTCAGCCAGGTTTGTCTTGACTTTTTGCCTCCATATACTTTCCTCATGCATGATCAACTGTTCTTGGTTAAAAGAACACTCCCTCTCTTCCAATAGTAAACTCTCATTAGTTGGGTCATTATTCGATCATGTAAGATAGAAAGCCACAGATGGGTAATTTTGATCTTTTCCCACACATTACCAAAATTAGATTTGCTCCATTCATGCAGGTCTTTCCTCAATCTCTTCAATTTTGCCACAAAATGGTACATCGGTGTACCTCTCACTCTTCCACTCCATGATTCTCTATTTATATTAAGTTAGGGGCCTTCTGCCATGTTGTGAAATATCCAAAGGGTTTGAACT